TAATATCATTCGTATTACTAAATAAACTAATACAATTATTATTGAAGTGAATACTTCTTAGTGGACTTGTGAGACGTAAACGTTTAATCCTACTAAGGCGCATGCGCGTCGTATACCTACTACCAGCGCCCCGCTCCACTTAACTCTTATAAAGTTAGCAGCATAACTATGCCAGACACATAATATATAATACACCCAACAAACGTGTTGGATTACTCCCAGACTTTGATGAACTTTTTTTGTCGGTAGAGCTTTAGAAACTCTTGTGCTGCCATCTATACTCCAACTGCACAACTTTACGTTAATGTGTTAATGTATATTGTACAATTTATTTTTCTATGTTTTTATTTATTATTATTATTATATTTTTATTTTTTTGTATTATTCTGGTTGTAGTTGTTATTCGTTCTGTAACTTTTGTTTTTTTCTCAAACGTTTGATATAACGTTCGAGGACCAAGGTCTATAATAATAACAATTTTTCTATATTTTTTACGTACGAAAATCATAAAAAAATAATTCAATATACGTTCGCGTTTGGGACGGTATAGACGTATATATAGTTCAAAGTCAGCGAGATGAATTTGAAAATCTTTCAGCTTTTTATTTTTATTTTTCGTGAGTTAGCTGGCGTATAAGAATCTTAACACAATTGGATACATAATTGTATTTTTAGCATGGGAGAATTTTGATTTATGTTTTTTATACAGTGCGTGAACTGTTAGAATCCATTTTATTTCCCAAATCGTTTAATTGTATATCAATATTGTTTCCAACAAATTATTTTTCCTTTTTGTATTAATTAGATAACTCATACAATATTTTCGAGTCTTAAAACCATCGGTATCTACAAAATATAACTCGCCTGTTACCCACCAAAGTACGCTTAACATTTTTGTAAACATGGAGGCGAATTTTGTGTGACCTCCTTCAACGATGGTTGCTCGCCGTTTGAATCCGGTCTTGTAACACTCTATACTTGAAAACACACTCATACCTATTTTAAGTATCTAATGTGTAAATGTTTTATTAGACGACATGCATTTAATACATAATTCGAGTCATCGACACATCACTCGCCACGCCTTGTAAACTTCTTTTGTACATATTTTAACATAGATATATTTTATCATCCACCAAATGTGATCGGTACGTTAGCGTGCAAAAAATGGACAAACAATGGGTTTTACTAAATATAGGATTAACGTATGGATTATCTTAGTGGTTTCAAACATATTTTTACCCGAGTAAAGGAAAACTATAGAAAGTATATTTGATGTATACAATATTTGTTTGCAAATATTATAAGCTAAAGTATAAATGTATAATACATAAATTATTTCACCAGTAAAAATAATAGTATTTTTAAGAACAAAAAGAATAACAAACCACGGTTAGGTAATTTGTTATGGGGGTAAGTGCGTTATTATAATCGTTATTTATTGTTGAAAAAAAAAGAAGTTCTGAGAAGGTGCAGTGTATAAGGCAAATACATAAATCAATTAGCTAAGCCACCGTTGATAATATAACCTATATTTATTGGCCATACGTTTATTATGGTTTTTGGAATTTAATGATCTATTGTACTGTAATTTTTAAAAAACAATGACGCATGAAATAAACTTATTTATACCTATCTAGTTCACCTGTTTTCCATACATCCGACACAGCATGGGTTTTCGAACCGTAAGTGGTAGTTGGCACTTATATTAGGTAAAGGTATAACACTCATTCAGACTTGTACAGTAGGTGTATACTTTAAATGCAGTTCAAGGTTCACGAGCCAAGCAATCGTTTAAAACATTATAATAGCTTGATGTGTACCGGCGTGCTGTTATTCCTAGTTTAGAGATTAGGGACGTGTTTTAAAGAAATAATGCAAAGATGCTGTTTAAAAGATTAAAAGATGTGTTTATTGACTTATTAAAATGATTTTCTGTATAAAAATGAAAAGAGGTTCTGACTGGATGCCTGTGTCTACGAGACTGCCGAGGCGGCCGTGACCAAGGGGCCCTTCTGTACAACGGCCAGGGTGGGAATTGCTGGATCAGCAGATTTCTGGTCGAGCGTCCGGCTCCGTAGTCACGTACGCCAGTATACATATCATAATACAAATATTAAACTCTAATATAACTATATACTACATACTATGCTTACATATAACAAGCTGCACAGTATAGCTAGGGTTCTCATAACTATTCTTTGTCCCGTGACCGTGCATAATAGATTCGACCAAGGGTGTGCCGTGTGCATCATGCCGCTTGTTTATTTAAAATATACTACGAGCACTTGCGCGATCAATCATAAAATATGGATATGTTATTCTAAGCTTTTCTCGTTATTTTATCATATGGAAAAATGTACCATTATACTTTGAGTAAGTATACGTTCATACAAAATTTAAAATACATTAACACTTAAGAGTCCACTCGAATAACTCAAAATACTTTAACACACATTGAATAACATAATATATACCTATCTATGATGCATTAATCATCGCTTTCGAGATTAAACAGTAATTTACAAATTAAATATTAGTCTACATTATTATTATTATTACTCTACAATATTAATATTATTCCACAATCGGGAAGTACAATATGATATAATCAGAAGTTCAATAAATTACAACTAATACGCCATAGTATCATGGTGTATAGATAATTATAAATGTCAAGTTATCATAATGTCAATTCATTGATCAAATTAAAATATATATCCTATATGAATTATGTGTGAAACGTTTATAAAAATCCGTGTCTTATAATATATGCGGAAGAAAGAGTATATTATTTGATATTTTATTCAACAATGTATCGTAAACAACTGTATCGCGGGTCCGTCCAAAGTTTTCGACAGACACGGATGTATTAAATCCAGACGATCGGTATGCTCTATAATCCTATCACGGTATCATTATACTGACTTAACTAAGGTGCAGTGTCGTAAGACTCGTCTTAAACAGAGATCAGCCAGTGAAACGTGTGAAATCGTTATGTTTATTATATATAAATAAAGGTACAAGTTGAGTAACGGTCATCAAAATATAAATATCGTTTCGATGTCACATGATGGCTATAGTATTTCGGACGTACATCCATAGTATTACTGCAATTGCAAAAGCAGATCCGTGTCTCAACTAGTCACCTGATTCTACTTTGTGATTCTATCCCGTTATCCTGCTTTCTCGGTCACTATCTCATGATTACTTTTTTAGATTCTGAGCGGAGCGATGAATGTATTGGTTTTACAATGATGTGTGTTTTTTTTTTTTTATATTTTTATTTTTTTATTTTTTTTTGTGTCTGTCATCACGTTTTGGGACAGTAAAAGTGCTTAGATTTTCTTCAATAGTACCTTTTCTGAAAGGAAAGTGAATCTAGTTGGTACTTTGGGGGGTCAAAAGTAAACATTTCACAGTAGTTTTCACAAGCGCCGGGAAAAACAACATAAAAATTAAGGAAAAACGGGAATTTTTACGCAAAATTGATTTTCCAAAAAATCGATTTTGGTTTTTGGTGTAACTCTAAAACAAATGAACGTATATACATGGAATTTTCACTGGTTGTTTATATTTGCATTTTCTATACACGATAACATTTTCAAAATATTTTGATTTATTTTGAACTGTTTAGGGACATTTTCATTTTTCATTTTTTTTTAGTTTTTTTTCTAGAAATATCAATAAAATTTTATTTGTTGGTTGCGAAAGCTTGAAAATTTAATAGAAGGCTCCTAATATATTGTTTCAAAGGCAGATGAAAACTATTAAAAATCCTTAGTCACAATTTTTTTTTATAAGCATTTAAAGTTCAAAAATTGACAAAATATGGAAAAATCACGAAAATTAGCAAATTATTTTGAGTTAAGAATTCGTAAAAATTTTTCTTTTAAAATCTAAGATTTGAAAATGTAATATAAGATTACTCATAAGTTTGTCTACCTTTATCAATAAAAAAAATGTCTACCGGAATGTCAAATTAAATTTTTATGAGCGTTTGAAATTCAAATTTTTACAACATTGGATGTTCACTCGATTTCTCATGTAGCGATTTCCTTATTTTGTTGTAATTCAAAAACGAATAACTGTAGATACATGAAAATTTCACTGAATGTTTATATTAGCATTTCCTATACACCATACAATTTTGAAAATATTTTGACTCTTTTTGAGCTGTTTATGGACATTTACAGCTTTCAATTTTTTTTAGTTTTTTTTTCTATAAATATCAATAAAGTTTTATCTGTTGGGCCAAAAAGTGTAAAAATTTAATACAAGGCTCCTGATATATTGTTACAAAATCAGTTGAAAAATATTAAAAATACATAGGCACGATTTTTTTTTATAAGCATTTAAAGTTGGAATTTTGACAAAATTTATCAAAATCTCGAAAATTATCAATCGTTGGAATTAAAAAATTATAAAATGTTCAGTTTTTATAACTAAGAGTTGAAAATTTAAAACAAAGATTCTCTTAAATAATTCATACTGTAACCAAAAAATCTAAAAAATATATAAACACACTTATTTTTTTAAGACATTTTAATTTCAAATTTAGATAAAATTTCATATTTAAACCAAGAATTACGATTTTAGTTATTTTGTTGTGATTGAATAATATTATTCGTGGGTACTTGAAACTTCTAAAGTGTACTATTATATATCTATGATAGTATCACCGTTTTTGTTGATGTATAACGCGTTATAAGTATCTAATGGATATTGTGATATGATTAGTTTGGAATTTATTATATGTACCTATATTATAGGTCAATTTTTTGTTTAATACCATAGATTTGTATATAATATGTCTTATACATAGACTTGAATTTGAATTTGGTATTTAAAATGTATAAATGTATGAAATGTTCAATCTAAATGTATCATCACAAATTTAAACATGATTTCAGATTGTCTATCAGCTCTATAATAGCCTACGAAGAGAAGGCACACAAGACCGCCAAGAATCGCAAAAACAGTTAAACCAAATGGTACACTCACTTTGTGTCGACTCGCGACAAATGCAGTACTCGGGGTCGGCCCGAACCACACGGTTCGATCAGGTACCTGGAGGCGAGCACGATGCCACGGACCGAGCCCGCCGCCGGTTGCTTGGCGTCCGGGTGTTCGACGGACGTCTCGACGACCGCGCAACCGCCCCGGTTGAGATCGGTTCGCCACGACCTGACCACGCAATAGTCCTTGTCCGGATGAGGGGCCATCGCCGCGACCGCGTACTGGTACAGGTCGGCGCGAGCGTCCATCTTGGCCACCACCCTGGCCGACACCAGGTCGGCGTCCCACACGTGCCTCTCCCACAGGATCCGGGCGAGCACCTCGGCGGGTGGCGCCTCTACTTCCGTGCACACCCGCCACAGCCGCAACGGGTGTCCGTCGCCGACCTTCTTGTACGATATGTCGACGTTCTCGAAACTGCCCACGGCCATCCATCCCCTGTTCCTGAAAACACACGTAGGTACCGCGTTTAATATTATTTACATGACAGCGCCCAAGTTGTAAACTTTCAGATAAACATTATATCTGCAGGTCGTATGATTAATATCTAATATTTTAATCCTCTATATATATCAAAAAAGTCAATGTTTGTGACGTTTGTGTGTTTGTGTCCGCGATAGCGATTCACAGCCAAGTCTATCACACTCATTATGGTTTTGAAATTTAGGGTAAAAGAGGGGTAATCCTGTGTGCCCTAGGATGATGATGTGCACCTCGAAGGGCGATTTCAACATTTCAACATTTTACATACCTACCCCTCTGTGTTATTCCTTATAATATGATGTATATAATATTGTTGTTATTAAATAACATTAAATTAAGTTTAGACTTTAGACGAGTAAATATAGTAATTACTATTATAGAACATAATATTATTACTTATACCAACTTGTACTAGTTCATAGACAATACTACAATAGTAACTTGTACTATATTTGTTCGAGCTCTTTACAATAATATATATATAGTGAATAATACACTACCTATGTGTATAGAATTGGTAAAAAGAAAAATTTGAAAAAGTTATAGCATGTACTTTTTGAATGTTCATGGTGACTTCCTTTATCTATCTATATTATGTAGTCACTAGAGTTGGTTTTTCTTTTATTAACTATTGTTTTTGGTTAGGTATTGCAATGTATATAATATCGAGCATATATAATATACATTTACGATTACAAATTAGACTTCTTGCTTACTTGTCTTTAGCTTCTTTAAGCAACATCGACGTACACACGTTCAGGTATCCTCTCCAGTCGTGGCCCATTTCCGCTCCTAGTTCTACCAGGCTTATTGGTATGCTTTCGTCCATGTAGCTGAAGTGACACTGACTCATGATTTCATCTGACATCTGATTATGAAACGAAAACCACTGATTAATACAGAATATAATCAACCTAGTTAAAATTGTATGCGTGTGTAGCGCGGGGTGTCATTGTCAGATAGTAACGTGTCGGTTATAGATAGATCAATTGCGTACCTTAAGTTTATAATTAGAACGACATATTTGTTATTATAGGTTCGGGTTTATCGGTCACCGAACGAAAATGTCAATATAAACAGTGTCCGGGTCAATATAGCAAATTTATAAGCTACGTATAATTATTAATATATGATAGAATAGATTTCGGAGATAAGTACAAAAAACTTATCCATATAGACGGAACGAGGTTTTGGTCAAATGCGGTTACTATATTATGGTTAGGTATTTGAGTTCTTGATCTCTTATGATAAGGCCAAGAGAGATTACGCATATCAATTATGAAAAAGTTTGGAAAAATAATGAGATGACCATTCTATAATCACAATATTCATAAAATAATATTATTGTGTTGTTTTTGTAATAGGTATGTATGTTATAAATAATGCGATGACATTCACAAAACGTCAACATAATATATCAGACAAGACAAACGTGAAATGAATATAATTTGAGGAAATAAATTTTTTTATCTTCTAAATCTACGTTAAAATGGCCCTGTTGCGCATTCTTTCTTTATGCTAGAAGATTTAAAGATTTCTATCGTCGGCATATCTTTGGGGGGGGGACAACGATTTCAGGGGGGACAAGTGCCCCCCCCCTTGCACACTACAATTACGCGGCTGTGTGCATGACGTATAATAATATATACGTACGGCGAACAGTTGACGGTAGTGCTTGATGAGGAACAGCAAGCAGTCGTGCGCCGCCTTGTTCTGTCCCAGCTGCTTGGAATCGGGCAGACCGATAGTGGCAGCGGAGGCGGTAGACGACTGATGGTGGTTCCGGCGTGGCGACAAGGACGACGAACGGTTGTGCGACGTGGCCGGGCTGGACGGCGTTCACCCGCCGACGGAGTCGCCGTGCGGGTGCAACGACGACCAGGAGCCGGTGTTGCCTAGGTGGAACAGCGACGGGGCCAAACACACTGCCAGGTTGCTGGCGGACATCTGGTTCACGTTGCTCCTGGACGAAACCCGGAACAGGAAGTCGAGCAGCGCGAACAGGGCTTCGCGGTGTTCGTCGGGCAACAGCAGCACCGTGTAATGGACCGCTTCCTTTTGCAAGTACACCGGAACGTCTATACGTGTTACGTGGGTACATATTTTAGTATGCGTATTATAGTATTGTATCGTTAAAGACAGGCTCCCCCGAAATCCACTCTAACATTAAAAACAAAATGTATAATCCTCACCGTTCGAAAACATAAGAAATATTATCCTAAGATTCCCATACCACCAAGATTTAGATCCAGACCTATATTATTTTAACCAATACTAAACCAACATACCACATCTGGCAACTTTAAACTTTTTGGCGGTAGCCTGGGTCGAAACAGAATACGATAAACAAAGCAAAACAGCGAATCCCCATGCAGCACGGGTTACTTTAAGATAACAGTTTTGGTCAGGTATTTTTAATAGTATTTAAAATTTAAAATTTATCTTCCTGTATATTATAATATATTATAGATACTAACTACTAATACTATACTCACGTTGAAAAATAGCGACGAAACTCTCGGACAGTTCGTTGGTTAGCAAGGCCTCCGGTAACACCCGGAAGTATTGCTTCATTATGTCGGCCACGTCGTAGGCCTGATGGTTTTCGAACTTCACGTCCTCCGGGTCGGCTTCGGCCAGTTGCTTTAGGCGCTGTATTTGGGATTTGACGCCAGGCTTCCGGAACAACCCCACGTGGTCGAGAGCGTTGTCTTCGGGCCACCGAAAAGCAGACTGGACGAACGGTGGCAGTGCCGAACCGTATTTTTGCACGTTGGCGATCAGCGGAACTCCGAAAACGGTCTTATCTGAAACGAATAACAATTATATAGAGAAAAACGATAAAAATAATAATGAGAAAAAAAAATGTTTTCTACATAACAATAAATAATATCGAATTCATAAAGGGAATTCTATAATAATACGTTTCGTTTCATTGTGTGTTGGCCCCATCATCGCTTCTGTAGCGTACGTACCTTTGGGATCGGGCATTTTGGTTTTGCGCATAAACTTGGGCAATTCCCAGTTCCATCCGGTCCGGTGTGTCGGACAATACCATTCCATGATGGCAGTCAGCTTGAGAAGAGCGAACTTCCGCAACACCAACAGCTGGCCAACCGTGAGCGACCCGACCGTTTGTCCGGCTAAGGCATTGGGCCGATTTTTGGTCTTTTGAAAACTATGCCACCGAACAACTGACCCTCTGTAAATTATAAGACGTTGTAAGTTAAAACACACATATCGTAATACCTATGATATTCATCTAAAATATTTGTCAGTTTTATTTTTGGAAAATCAAATGCTACAATTTATTGTTTTTCAAAATAATACACCGTAATATATATATTGTCTGTAAAAATCACCAACCTAACGTGCGGACATAATTTGACCGGAATGTTCCCTACTATAAACGCGCGTGAAACGTAACAATTATATTATTTACTTTGATTTGATGGTTAGATCTTGATCGCTGTCTTGCACTGCGCTCGAAACCGAATCCACGCTGTCGTTGTCTAGAAATACAATAAACACAATAAACGTTATTGAAGCGAGCACAAATAGTTGAACGTATTATATGATGTATTCGGATTTTACATTTGTTTTTGTACGTGCGCCTGTCTTGACTGCCGTTGGGAGATGAGAATTCGTTACTCCCGTCAAAGGCCATGAAATCCAGCAGCGGCTATTTAGACGACAAAAATGTACGTGATAATATATAATATTACGATCGACATTACGTCCAATTATTATACAAAATTATGACGTGCATTGCAGAAATTTTAATCAATCGTCAGTGTTACCTTGGTGTTGTTGCTGTTGGCGTCCGTGTACTAGTTTCTCCACGACACTTCTGAATCGGAATATGCCAGCGAGTCCAGCGACTCGGGTTTGGCCAAGAACCGTTTGGTCTTAGTGTGATCGTCGGTCACCGGTGAATCTGGCGGTGTCACGTCCACGCAGTTAAGTTCCTTCATCCGTTGTTGCATCGAACCAATGTCTATGATCTGCGCATACGAGAGGAAAATCGATGCATTAAAACACGCGTTGAGAGACGGCTTTTGGTTCAAATCGAAAACGTATTTATTTAATTTTTGACGAGTACGACGAATAGGAATGTTCAAAAAAAAAAAAATTGCAAAAGTAAAACCGGTGATGACAAAACCTGGTATAGTTCTAATGCGGTTACGTCTTGGAATACAGTAAAATAGTACTGGCATATGTATAGGTATATAAGGTATATATTATACGAGTTGTAATAATATATTATACATGCATGCAATCGTAAGTTAATAAAAAACCATCAGCCTGACCGAAAGATGCGTAGCTGTTAAAATAAAACGAATTACAGAATACATCTCGTCATCATCTCGACAAAGATATTAGCCATAGATGGAAACGTACATTGGACATAGATATTATTCTTTTTTAAAACTCCTCTGAGATTATTTACCATTACCTATTGCTATCGATTATTTAAATTAGATTTTAAGTTTTGAGTTTTCAACATAAGAATTTACCTACACTTTTTTCAGAATAATTTAAGTAAAATATAATGTCTATAGAAAAATATTCGAATCCTAACACCTATATAGGCACCGTTACTAATCATTTGGCAAAAATCCATGACATAATGACATAGATGCATAGTATACGGAAAATAATATTATTTTTGTAGTTAATCTATCATATTGGACTAGGCCACAAATAAATATGGGTAGAAAATTACAAATATTAAAAATGCACCGTATTTTATAAATATTTTTATATTTTTTAATTTTGAAATAGTTATATCGTTTTCCTGAAAAAACCCATGATACCTATTATAAGCATGGGCATTAATGTTATCGTATAACAAATCGTATTCAAGTAATTAAGAGTTTAAGACATTTAATAATATTATTTTTATGGTCGCATTGCCGTTCGTTATAATTTAACGCGTTCGAGATTTTACCAATACGTATATAGCAATACATTAAAATTAGAAATCTCGGGCTCAAGGACATCTGGTTTTTGGAAATAATCAGGGGACGAGGAATTAAACAAATCCATCGATATAATGACTATTTAATGAGGATATTATGTATATATATTGTTATTGTACTAAAGACTAAACGTTACAATAATTTATTTGAAACTAAAGTTAGGTATATATGTATATTGTATATGTTTTGGAACTCCTGTGTTCATTAGGTTTGTAAATTATACACATTTATGGTAATTATTCTCATTGGAATATTATTTTTTTAGATCGACCGACGGACACTCGTGTAACAGTAACCTTTTATTGCGGCTCTTCCGTCATATTGTTTTTTATAGATCCTGCTCGCTGCCCGACCGGCGGAGTCGCAAGATCAGTGCCGCGTCCGACGTGTCGGCCGACTGCACCGGTGGCTGTGGCATGGCGTTACTTCCAAACTTGCCTCCGACGCCGACCTGTTGCGACGATTGGAGGTCGTGGTTTTGCTGCTGCTGCAGCATCGCCGCCGTGTTGACGATGTCGTCCTCCCTGGACCACCTCCTCGACTCAATCTGGAAAGTCCAGTTCTCGCTCAGCGCGCATTCCCCCTCGGAGTCCGAGTCGTCACCCTGTGACACACGTCGCCGATCGTTATTACAATAATATTAGGTATGTTATGTCACATTTTGGCAAAATTGTATTTTCAATTCCTAAGTTTATAAAAGCGGTTTAATCAAGAAGCACCTTTTTAAATGATTTAATTAAGGAAATAATATTGGCGATAACGGGCGGAGAGAACAAGAATTTAGAATAAGTTAAATTACGGGACAGGGATAATGATAACCTAATGAAGATAGAAGAAGGAAAATAGTGTGTTTCTACAAGAGTATATTATAGTGATGTACAGTAAAAAAACAATATTATGTTCGAAATCACAAATAGCTCCGACGGAGAGGAGAGAGCAGCAAGGGGGATGAAATCAGAGGAAAAAGGAAGGAATGTTACACATGAACACTTAGGGACACACATTTTTAAGGCATTATTGTTGACCTCTACTCAGTGAAATACTGCAAAAACGACACAACTAAATACTCATTATATATTTAGAGTTTAATACAAGAGGCTATACTCGTCTGTATGTCTTATGTGACTTGTACAAGCAAAAAGTATTAAAACTAAACCTAAATCCTTAAGTATTAATCATAATGGTCATCCAGCTCTGGGTACTTATATTACTGAAATATCAAATCTATAGTTATTACCTTAATATATATATGTATAAGGTATATTATCTAAAAAGGGTACCTACCTAATTTAGTTAAATATCAATTATTGCACAAATGACTTCAGGCTAGGAAATAGAAATGTTTATATGGGTGGTGTGGAAACACGAGGTGGCATTTACACCAAATTTGGCGCAAAATGCTACGCTAAAACGGTTTTTACTATTTATTTGGCATCACGCCGACTATCATCACCATTGTAATGTGATGGTGCCAACATTTGTTGCGCATAAATCGACGCTCAGATTTTGCAGCAAAATTTAACGGGACAATATAATTTTTTTTACGAAAATCACAATAGGTGCTGCAAGGAGTGCCCCCCGATAAATTAAGCGATACATGGCGATTAAGCCATTAAACATATATTATATCAATTTGTACTTTACTTATAAAAAGATTATGTATTATCGTAGTCGATTATAATAAATGGTATTACCCACATTATTATTATTCAAAAATATTATTGTATCCGAGTACAAAGACGGGTTGTGCTTCTTTCAGCCGATTGTATGGCTATAATAATAATATGGTCTCGTGTCAGACGGTTGCCTAATGCGCCTAATGAGGTTTCAGTTTATATTGGGTTTAATAAGTTACCTCGGTTACAGCAGTAGTTGGGACCGGTCTGCAGAATTGCGTACAGGGTAATTGTTGTCGGTAGCATTTCCCTAGACTCTGGGAGTTCTAGGTGGTGGGTAGCGTATATATAGATGTGTAAACGGAGAATGGATTTCTGTAGAAAAGCGTTTTTTGAGCGGGAGGGTGTTTTTTTTGATATATTGATATCCGGTAAGATATCCGATATCTTGGACCGTGGTAGGTGATAAGTGAAACCCCAGGCCGGGACGACATAATATAGGATAGCAACGGTTTTGAGTAAAATCTAAGATATTGATTTCGGTGTTGATTGGAATTGGGCTGGAACGGTTTGGTATTGGGTCGTGCAGTTGCGCTAGTCGAGGGCTAAATATAATAAAATTATATTTTGTTTTACAGACTACTCGATCGTAACTAAAACAAGCGTAATAATATTATACTATCGTATGCAGTGGTGTTAAAATATTATCGTAAACAGCTGCTGCAGTCCGCGTGTTTGATTATTTATGCGTTTCGTTGTGTTATAAATAAATATTAACACGTATACGTTTCACGTGTTGTATCTCCGCGTTCGACATAATATTATACAACCATTGATTAATTATTGTACATATTAATAATCAAATGATATAATATTATCTCGTCGGTTTTAATTAAAACTACCACGCTAGCATTTCTAATCGATCGAAACCCCCGCACAACGATAATATAAATCGAATCGATCGATATAAAACTAGAAAACAATGTACCTACGTATATTATAGGTAGCTGTATATACTCGTGTTTTAGCACAAAATCCAATTTCATGTTTGCGCAACGGTTCAGAGCGTGCAGTCTCCTGAACAACGATTGTAACGAGTCTAGGTCTAGAAACGGATGGTCCTTTTGTACGCCGTTCACGTCAATGGGAAATTGCAAATTTATACAGGAAAGAAAACGTCGTGGTGAAAAAATTCGGAAAAACGGACCCATGAGGTGTAATAATATTATAATAATAATAATTTATTCACCTTCATACATTTGCGCGTACTGTGGAAATCCGGGGGCTCTTAGCCATTTACACGCTTCTTTGGCTTCTATTTCTGTAACAAAAACGACGAAACACCTATTTTTTAATACGGTTCGAATAACAGACGGATTCTGGTAATATTATCAAACATAATATCACATAAATTATGTACAAAAATCTAAAAATCTCCGCCAGGATAACCATTAACAGACACGCTGCGTCGATACGATATTATACTGCAGGCATTATAATATTGTTTAACACATACCTACCTAAAATAATTATCGAAAACCAAACGGCGCACCGAACACGATTTTTAAGTATTCGACTACGTTGACTAAATAATCATTAATCACAAATCATAATAAACTATTATAATAATAATATACATTATCGGGCGGGCGCAGATCAATTCGTAAACAGCGTGTGTTGTGCAGTAGGTAGACATTTTTATCGACGGGGTTTGTCGCATAGTTCGGGAAAATAATATGTTTATATGGCTAATGGCCATGAAACGGTTTCATGTACGCGCGAATGACAAATAATAACAATTTTAATATTAATAACGACGAAACGGCCGTATTATAATATTGTGCGTTTATCGGTTTACGCGCACACCGCAATAAAACGATATTAAATTATATTGTGTAAATAATAATAATAATAATAATGCGTTGTAAATAGCACAGGATTGGCGCGACGAATCGGGGTCAGGTGCTTCCGAACCGAACGTCGCCGGCGAACGAGATAGAATAATAATATGACATCGCGGTTTGTCGACGTCGATCGTCAAGGACATCGCTGCAGGTACCAAGGTATATAATGGGTAAGTACCGCGTGCAGAACCGTGTTTACGTCTAGGTCGTTGGATTTTTGACGCGGCCTATATAATATTGTATATTATGATGGTGCGATCCAAAACGAGTCGAGATTTTTTCCGAGAGATTTTCGGTCCACTGAGTATTGTTTTAAATGTTTTTTTGATTATGATTTATACGCATTAATTATCACCGTCACACGCACTTTCCACAGATTGTGAAGACCGCGAAGAGAGATATATATTGATCAATGTGGACGACAAACGGTGGGTTTTCACGCTAAAAAATCTGTTTTCGTTCAACCTTAGTTAGGTGGACTTCA